GTTCAGTGTAATAAAGCCATTCACTCCTTCAGAAAACTAGGAAAGAAAGGAAAAATAAAGAAGGTTATCTCCAACCCCCAACTCACACCCAGCCTGCCCCACCACAGCTAAAATAAAGAGCATCCTGTCTTTATGAAGAGATTCTTTCCCCCATATGGTGGATGGAGTGAGACCATTTTTAAAGGTATCTTGTGAATATTGTTAAATTCCTGGGAAAAGGGTCATAATACTGCGAATAAGTCGCAGTATTGGTTCCCAAGTCATTTGGCCATCAAGCTCAGCAAGGGTTAATCAATTCTGACACTATTATTAGATATGTAAAGAGATCCAGCATAGACCTGGCTGCTGTGGCTCAGTGGATTGTGCGCAGGCCTGCAAACTAAAGGGTCGCTGGTTCGATTCCCAGTCCGGGCACATGCTTGGGTTGCGGTCCAGGTCTCCAGTAGGGGGCGCACAAGAGGCAACCACAAATTGATATTTCTCTCCCTCTCTTTCTCCTCCCCTCCCTCTCTCTAAAAATAAGTAAATAAAACCTTTAAAAATAAAATCAAAAAAGAGATCCAGGGTATCTTGCAGCTGGAGCAGAGTCTGGGGCGCCTGGTGATCCTCACACTCCAGTTTGAGCACATCTGAGGTAGAGAGTGGTGACAGGTGGCTCGAGTCTCAGTGAGGTCCCCTGGCATTCAATATTCCCAGCTCCCTGCAAACAACTCAACTCACCAGGATGACTAAAGTTCAGTTTTCCTATTTCATGAATCAGAAGTCTGTCCCTGGTCCAACATCTTTCAGAGTTAAGGGGAAGATAATTACAGCTTTTATCTATGGCATTGTTTTACTAGCAAAGATGAAAATTTCTAGCTAATCATAAAATAGCACTAATTCAGGGGAAAAAAGAGATAGAAGTCAGGTAATTTGCATTCTAGTCTAGTGTCCACCAAGCATGCAGCTACGTGACCTTTGGTTGGGTCTTTCTGAGCCTCTTTCATTATCTGAAAAATTAGATAAAAATGTTTTCCTGGTCTCACTTGAATAATTGTCACAATGATCAAATGGAATAATGAGTATGAATATGCTTTTATAAACTATAAAGTGTTGTAGCTTTGGGCTACTTACTTATAGCATTGTTCTTCCTCATCAGTACAATGGAAATAGTCCTTTATAACTCCATAGAGATGTGAGTGGTTGAGACAGCTAATAGCACAATTAAAACTCTTCTAAAGTAAAGTTTATTTGTTTTCTATTGTCTAATATACAAAAGTTGTAAGATGTACAGATATTATTATAGTGCTTCTACACAGTAGGCGATGGCACTTTTATTTGAACTAGTCGTGGACTGGAACAGTGTTTTTCAGAGTGGGGCCCGCAGACCAGCAGCGGCAGCATCCCTTGGGAAATCGTTAGAAACGCACATTTCAGGCCTCACTCCAGACGTACTCCATCAGCAGCTCTGGGTTTTAACAAGCGCTACAGGTGATCCCCATGCTCACTTAAGTCTTATAGGAAGAGATTTATTTCGGTCTTAATTGAAGGGTGTGACAAAGAGCACCCTTTTCCCAGAACAGGGCAATTGCTTCTCTTTTTCTCCAGCACAGATCTGCAATCGCCGTGTCCAAGCTGAGGCAGCCGTTATTGGGTTACTTCGTAAACACGCTCCGTCACTGCCCGCCCAGCGCAGTGGAGAGATCGGGAATGCCGCTCCAGTGCATCCCTTACGAGGCTGACTTCTGGGTGCGGGGAAATTAAAGCTATTTATCACAGGCCGTTTTCCCCTCAGTGACAGGAGAAATGAGCCTGAACCTAAAAAGGCTTCATATTGGGCCCACATACAAAAAACATACAGCTGGATGAACACAGTTCGAGCACACTTACGCTTCTCTTGACTTTTCCCTTTGAAAATGAACCAGTTTCTGAGCTACACCAAGTTAATGGTGCTTAAGAAAAACTGAAGATGGATTCGTACCAGTCTGTTCGTGACTCAGGCACGGGTGGTAGAATGGCAGTTTCCTCCCTCTCCGTCCTGGGAGGGGATCCCTGGCAAGAGGGGAAAGGGACTACGGCTGTGCACCAGGAGCCGTGCTGTGGAGGGAGAGGCGTTCTGTTGAGCTGGAGAAAGGTTTGTCTGTGCCATGCAGTTGTATGGTCTGGTCCACCACCTGCTTTGTCAAGACAGCTTTTATTGGAACACAGCCACACCCATTTGTTTATGTACTGTCTGTGTTTGCCTTCAAACTACAAAGAGTTGAGTAGTTATGACAGAGACTGTGTAACCTGCAAACCTATCCAGTGCTTGACAGAACGAGTTTGTGAATCCCTGCTGTAGAGGTTCCCTTTGGGCTGCCCGGCGGGACCCTCAGTGGAATCACTGGACAGGAAGGGCAGTGGGGGGACGGAGCAGTGAAATGCCAAGGGGTCCCTCTGGAGCCAGCAGGAGGGAGACCAGAGAAAGAAGGGGTTCCTTATTGCCTATTTGAGTTGGGTACTGTATGGATTTTAAGAAGTGATTCTATTTAAAATATATTAATAAAACTCAAACTTGATACATACTTATGATTGTTTAATATTTATGTTGCTTCCTGGTGTTGAATGTTACAGGCACAGTGCAAGGTTTTATGTTAAATGTTAGTGAGTAACATTTGTTGGAACCTACCATGTGCAGAGCACTTTGCATCCATTATACTATTTCGTGTTCACAATGATTCTATGAGATAGGTACTATCATCCCCATTTTACAGATGAGAAAACTGAAACGCAGAAAGTTTAATGTTTTGGAGACAATGGTAGAGGCTTGATTTAAAGGTAGGTCTCTCTCGCTCTTTCTCTCTCTCTCTAATGCCAAAGACAGCATTATAAATTAGTGTTTTTCAAATTGTGGCGTGAGAAATCAGTTTAGCAAGTTCCAATTGGCATTTAAGAACAAATTGAATAGAATGCAAAATGCCAGGGTGTGTCAGATATAGGATGGGTAAATCTTGATACATGAAAATTTTTTTCAACTATAAAAATATTTACATATAATACACAAATATAGACACATTTTTGTGTACAACAATGTAAATGGCATTTCTTACTGTATCATAGTCAAGTTTGAAAGCAGATATTCTTGCCTGAAGTGGGGGAGGAGGGGGATGAATAGAGAGAAAGAGGGAGTGCAAGAGGGAGAAAGTATGAATGAGTAAATGCGTGAGTGACTGTCACAAACACAGAGAGAGAATGGGTGACTCTCTGAAGGAGACACAGAAACTCAAGGGGAGGAGGGTGGGGAGGAAGAGAGGTAGGAAGTCATACGGTTTTGTCTGCCATTCCGTTCCATGAACACATGTCCCTACTTGAGGTAAAAACTGGAGACCTGAAGTGACCTCCTGGTGGATTTTAGTTTTCATATGCTTCTCTTGCTGTGATCTTCTTGTCTTTGTGAGTGTGAGTCAAATAAAGAATGTTATAAAACACTGCCCCAAATACAAACCATCTATTTCATCTGGTGCTGAACTGAAAATCAGTGATCTGGAGGGAAAACAGTCTGTGTTTGAGTTACTGGGAGAAATTATGAGATTCACAACATGCCCCTTTCTAAGGAATTGGCAGAGGCAGTTTTGACTATATGTGATTTTTGTCTCTTTAGCCAACTAGTTTTGATTCCACAGTACTGCCTCTTATGTTTTACGGGAAACTGTAGATAGAAAAGATTTTAAAGTATTTTACTGTCAGGGAATTCCACAGCCACTAGTATTTTACTTTCAACGGATTCTGGAATCAGTTGATTAAAAGTCCATTTTTACAGCTGTGGAAATTAAGTGAACGTGTGTGGTGAATATTTCTGTATACAGATGTTTTTGTAAGAATCATATTATTGAACCTCGGTAGCTGCACTGCTGGAGGATCTTTGTGTCAGTTTTACTGCAGGAATTGGAACCCAGGAAGTTCAAGCCCTTGTCCAGGCTCTCATGTAAGAGGTGGTAGAACTACATTCAAACCTTGACTCTCTTATCCCAAATTTCATATTTACCCACTAGACAAAAATTGGCAATAATAGGATGAAAAACAGGGCAGTGTATTATAACTTTCAAGAATAACTTTATTTATGCCAGTGTAACATGGTGCACAGCCTAAAATGCCCACAGCTTTAATGTGCTCTGGTGTCATTATGTAATTTCCTCCTGTCTCTGAAGATTGTTCTCTATTTCTAGTCCCCCATTAGCAAAGTGGGGTTGGTACTGCTCTGCTTTTTTGTGATCCATTCTTGGTCTTTCTTGGTTAAAGACCATGATGAGCACCAACTGTATTCTTAGTAATAATATTACATCAAGTAACATAGGGAGCCACTTCCTGGCTTCAGCTTAGCGGGTGATCTTGTCTTCCTTTCTTTCTTTTCTTTTCGGTTTTAAATAAGTGCCCTGTATGCATGTGAGTAAGTAGGGCCCTACAGTAAACTTCATCTCAAAAGCCTTCATAGCTTGTTAGGAAAAAATCATAACATTTTCTTCAGCTTGCCAAAATGCCATTGCTGTATATCCTATCCAGCTTGCCTGGTTTCACCAATAACATTTTCTTTAAAAAAAAAAATTCCCAGGAAGAGTGCTGACATTGTCCTACTACAACTGCCTCTGCAAAAACTGTGTGTGTGTGTGTGTGTGTGTGTGTGTGTAATAGGGTCCCACAGCCAAGGCATCTTATGCTGCTTTTGCTCCTAACTGCCCTCGTTTGTAAAACAGTGAGGATCCATGCCTGAAGATGTGAAAGGGGACCATTTCTTCTCGTTTTTTGGTTTTATCCTTCCATCTTAAAAGTGTCGTTGCAAAGAGAGTCCTTTCCCTTACTGGTTTCATTTTGCTGAGTATTTATTACTTCCAAACCAGATACTTTCAGAAGCTAAGATTCAGCTCTGCACTCCACGGAAGCTTTGTCAATATAGACAAAATATCGATCTAGGGGGAAACACAGGATCCTAGCCTCATAATGTTAATGATAGGTGGGCCGTGATTGTTGTTTATTCTTTATTTCAGAGATCCCAGAAGACCCACGTATAGCTGAGGAGTATTATGCTGACACATTTGACTCCTGTTCTGAAGATGGTGAGGAGGAGGAAGAAGAAACAGCATTCTCGGGACTGGAGGAAGGGGTTGAGGATGAGGGATCCCAGCCTGATTACAGAGCAAGCCAACAGGTGCCTGGTGGGGCTGTCTGGGGTACTGAGTGGGCTGTGGCTTCTCAGAGAGAATGAAGGAAGTTTTATAACCTGAAGTGGGGGAGGGGGAACTAGGATTTGTTATAAAGGCTCCGTGTGGTGTCTTGGTTTCCAAGGTCCAGGGGCAGGCAGGGCCCCCGTGGAGTTCTGAGACCCTGGCCTGCGCCACATTGGTGGGGGAAGGGCTGCAGTCCCCAGTATTGATCCAGGAGAAACACACTGCACTATACATCGAGGAGCACCCCACACACAGCCTTGAATAAACAGTGCAAGTGTCCCTTTAGCAGGGAGAAGATGATTTTTAAAAATGTACTTTCTGCCTGGTAATCAGATTTGTGAGTCAGGTCTCAATGTACAAATTAGTTCTGGGGATGAGGCGCAGAGATCCTGGGCTTAGGGGATGATCGTTCTGGCCAGTTTTAGCCTCCGAGGACCTGTCCTCACAGGCAGCGCTGAGGTCCCTGAGCATGTGCCCCTTCCACAGATCTCTTTAACTACAGGGGGCTGAGCGCCATGTGGGCCATAGGCCAAGAGGCAGTCCAGCATGTGACTTCTCTGTTGTGTGTCTGCGGGAGAGGGGAAGAGCAAGAGGTATGTGAGGAGAAAGCAGGTGACCTTGGGCAGTTCATGCTCAGATACTTTATTTTCTTCTTAGGCTATGCCCTACTGACCTTTTCAGCCCTAAACTTCTGTAAGGTACAGACGCATTTTATTAACTAGAAACCATTAAACTCGTAAAATAAAAGTCAGTCAAGGAGCACCTGTGTTCATGGAAACTTAATTCAGAAGGATTGTTTTTGTAGTGGGAAGAAGATTGCACATAATCCATTCAGCCACTTAATGAAGCCTAATAGATCCTAATGTTGAATAAACAAAACAAATAAGGAATGTTTCTGATCCTATATGAGAAAGAGAGAGGCAGGGAGAATGGAGCTAGCATGGCGTGGATATGGGGCTAAGCAGAGAAAGGGATGAGCAAATGAGGAGAAGGAAGAGAAAAAGAAAGGATGAGAGAGAGAAATTAAGAGACAAATATATGAGGAAAATAACAAATAAGTGAGAAAAATACAGAGTCCGGTGGAGGCTAATCAGATTGCCAAATGAAAACACTTTCCTTACACCATTCCTGCACTTTTCCCAGTGGACTCTGGTAAACACCACCACCTCCTACCACAAATTAAAGTGCAGTTTCCCTTTGTTTCTGTGCCACTGACCCAAACAACCGAGACAAATGTTACTGCAATGCTGCGGGGCCAGCAGTCTGTGCCTGTGGTTGCAAACAGATGACATGCAAAATGCATACTCCATTTTTGCTCAAAGCATCAAGTGGTAAAATTTTAGCTACTAATATTATTACTTCAAAATGTTTTGTAATAAAATAAAACTGGCTCAGAAAACCACATGAATATAATATATGGCAAACACTCCCCAGGTCAAGAAATAGACCTTTGCTGGTCATTTCAGGAGTCCCGTCTTTGGCATAGTTGTTAGAACACAGGGTTGGAAATCAAGCTGCCCATATGAATCGAGCGCTTGTCACTTATGCGAGTTACTAACCTTCACTCTTCCTCGGTGTTCCGACCTGAGAAATGGGAGAACAGTGGTTCCTACTTCACGGAGTACTTCTGAGGATTGAATGAAGTAATGTAATAATATATTTAGAATAGTGTCCCATATGTAATAATGAAATTAATAATAATGCTGTTATGATGATGAAGTTCTCCAGGCATCTTGTGGTATTTTGATGATACTGCCAAAACTCTGTAATGTTAAAGTGAGATTTTTACAACTGTAGTAAAAAAAAGAACAACTTCTTATTTCTTAGGACCAGAGATAAATATAGGGAAGTCTGGGCTGTGCATCTGTCATATGTGATATGACTGTGATTGATTTTAAATAAATCTGCCGGGACAAGATGTTAAGATCTCTCACATTCGTGATGGTATTTTGTTTCACAAAATCCTGTTGGGTAGTTATTCTTATCCCTGTTTTCCAAATGAGGAAATGGAATTTCTGAGACTGCGGTGACTTGCCCATGGCTACACAGGAAGGGAAGGATCAGAACCACGCTCGGGCCCCGGTCTGGCACGTTCGTAAGCCAGTGCTTTTCTAGTACAGAAGGTGCATCTCCCTAGAATAGAAATCACAGCTGAATAATTTGTATCAGAGACAGGTTGTTACAACCCCAGTTATTTTCCCTAGTAACTAAATATAACTTCCCTCCTCTGAGTGGGTTGCTGTGGGGTTGTGATGACTTTGACCCTTTCTTTCCTTAGGCTATTTTATTAGCAACACACAAATTACAGTTACAGACTGTGCTGAGACCCAGTCACTGTTGCTTTGTGAATTGAGTGAAACCTGTAGCCATCTCCGAGGTTCTCCTCTCCTCTCCTCCACCTTGCCTTTGACCCCTACATGCACCAGGGTCTACTTAGGTGATCATCATACTCACGGCTTTTATGAGTATTCAGATCAAAGTGGGTTTCTCTTCCTCTGGATGGGAGCAAAGTCTCAGAGTTTTTATTTTGACAGACAAAGAACTTCCAAGAAGAAGAACAGCCACAGGCTTCACTGGGACTGATAGCTGAGTTTGGTGTGCCACCTAGGATGACCTTTCTAGCAGCAGTGTCTCCAAAGCAGTTTTATTGAGTACCTGATTGCTGTCGACTGTCAGTTGCTTCTTTGCTGCAATAAGCAGGACGTCAACAACACTTTTACCACAGCTGTTATGTTATTGTTGGTAGTTTTTCTATAAAGTCCATGATTACTGAGTTGGACCCAGCCACTCAGATCTCAGGAGCAGGGGGTTTGTGACTGTCATCATAGCAGGATTCTCAGCAGTGTCGATGGAACCTCGCTTTGAAAAGTGTTTCGTGTGCTCTAACAGACATGTTTTGGGGCTGCAGGCTGATGGGTGTTTTCGTAGACCCTCTGTCTCCCCCTTACTGCCTTCCCATCATTTCCCCACTCCGGCTCTAATTGTGTCCCATGTGCACCGTAACAGACATGCTGCCTGGACCCCGGTGACTTGCCACAAAACTCCCCAGCAAGGGCTCTTTTTAATGAGCATAGCTTCTATTGTTCCTTGTTTTAGGACTCTTAGGACCAGGGTGTTTGTTCTTGATAAGATGAAGAAGGTGCAAGGCCCATTTTCCCAGCTAGTTCTGAAGTTTTCAATGTCTTGCCTAAATCCTGCAGTGTTTTTGGAGCTCTGTCTGCACGATGAAGCATTAGAAAAAGCAGGAATGATCTGCTAGGAAGGGTGCCAGGGGCCAGAGAAATGGATAGTCCAGGCACGGCTAATGATTCTACTGAGGACTCTTGTATCAGATCATTATGAGAGTGGGTACTTCTAAGGTATCTTCTGGTAGGGGAGTCATTAGTTTAATTAAATTGTAATATTATAACAGTAAAGGCTAACATTTGCAGAACCTTCGTTCTATGCCCAGTACTTCATATGCTGTGTCAGTTCAGGCCCCCTAGGAAGCACACAACAAGACAGAATTAGGAGTAAAAGACAAATGCTGTGAAATAGGCTGGGCGACCCCCCACCACAATGCTGTCTACATCTTTGAGGGTACGATGGAAGGGAAGGAAGGATTGGGTGAGAACCTCTGGTAGGGGCGCAGCTCTGAAAAAAAGTCTTAGCCAGGGAGTTAGAAAGTAGAGGAGTCCTCACTGGGCACAAATGGCCTGACTCTTGTATGTCCACTATGTTCACACTGGCCCGGAGCTGCCTGGAAAGAGGTGGCCTGGGCGTGAACACTGCACTGGATCCTGAAGACACAGCAGCCTTGGGCGGTCAGCTCGCTACACAGCTTGCACCAGGCTCACTCCTGAAGAGACATGTAAGTGGAACACCTCCATGGCTGCCACTGATGCGTTATCTCCTTTAATTCTTGCAACAACCTCTTGAGGTGTGTATTCTAGTTGAGCAGCATCAAAGGAGAATTTAACTCGCTGCTGGAATTCAAATAAGGACAAGGCTGAAAGTGAGGAAGAAGAGGGTGGGAGGAAGGGGGAGACCATGAGTTTAGGGTTTCAGGCAATTTTCCCTGATGTTTCCGTTAAGAAGTGAATGCCTGGAGTGAGTGAGCTGAGAGCTATAAATCAGAGCCCCCCACTGCATCTCAATGTCTGCTGTCTCTCAGAGTGTGCACTTCCTGTTGAATTACTGCCCTACACTTACGGGATTTAAAGATGCACGTTTTACATAAAATGCACCCCCTAAGCGTAAGTCATCTATTTCATTTGGTGCTGCAAAAAGAACCAGCAGTGAATGATATTTGTCAGTAACTGATTACGGTACTGGGCACTAACTTGAAATTCCAGGTCTGTTTAAAGATGGGGCTGTTAGGATACCCTCACTTTGCACAAGAGGAAACTGAGGCTGAGTGAGGTAAAGAAACTTCTCCAAGAGCTGGGGTGTCTAATTTTGTTTTTAGCCTCTCCTGCGTGCAGCCTTCTCCCGCGCAACAACTGTTAGGTAAGCACACTGCATGCGAGGGAATAGCCTGAGGGCATCGCGTTATGGGTCCTTGGGTGAAACCTTAAAATTACTGATCAAAATTACTGAGATACGTAGAGGCAAAAGTTTATACCACTTCTAGGAAAAGTGCTGAATTATGAAAATGAAAATGCAAATGGAAAAGAGCCTGCCTCGCACATCTGTTAGTCAATGCACATTTCTCTCCTCCTACTGTGTTTTTATAGAAGGTGCCAGAACTTCTGAGTCCAAACAGTAGGGCTGATTTACCTGCTACTCACATGGTATGACCTAATTAATTTACCTTCCTACATGGGAGGGGACACTTTTTGTCTCGAATTGACCTTGGAGGGCATCAGGTCTAAGAAGCAGCCAGCCTGGCTAGAGTGTTATTAATGCCAGCCGTTTGGGGAACCTTCTGTAGACCCAGCGTGTGTTCCTCAAAGGGATGACTGTGAAGCGATGGTTTCCACCCCGTCCCTTGTTTTGTCAG